AAAGCAAAATGTTTTTGCTTGTGATATCAGCCTTATCAACAAAGATATGCTGAAAAAGTCGCAAATCAGTGCTCTGCAGCACAGTCGGCGAGGAAGTCCTTCACGGAGTAGTCTGCAAACTGCTCTGCACTTTGGATCATCGCCAGCGGCCCGCCAGTCTTGGCAATCTTGCGAAAGACGTGCGCTGTTTGGGTGTTGAAGGCCGCTTTCAGACCACACTCTAGCCTGTAAAAGTCAGTGTTGGCCAAGGAGGCTAGTAGGAAATCAGGTTTAGAAATGAGCCTTTCCTTTTTACTTTCCTAAACTGACCGCAAGTGGCACTGCAAAAGAGCACCTCAGTGCAAATGGCTACTAGCTCCGTTTTAAGTCAGATGTAGTCTTCCGAGAGGGATGGTCCTGACTACCTCAGTGCAAGTAGCACACGGGTAAAATGACTGTTCCAGTGAGATGTGACAGTGTGAGCATCGCTTCAACATGTATTTGAGTATGAGGACGGTACAGTAGGGGTACTCTTCGAGGAGAACCTGTCCCTCGGTAATGTTTTCCTCACTTCAGACTGGGACTTGCTGGTCGCCCTAGTTACTTGCAATCGCAAAGCGTTTTTCAAGCTCAATTTTGACGACTGTGTTGCTATTAGTTATCACAAAGAAGGAGGTCCTTGTCCTGGTGGTCCTGGTGACAGTCTCTTTCAGCGTAATCTTTGCACGCTGGCCGTCGGTCTAATGAGTGGTGAGCTGTTTGAGGGTGATAGAAGTGAGGATGATAAGGAAATGGAAGAAGTTTCTAGCAGCAGTTAGTTCAATTGTGGAAGATGATTCGGGTGTGAAGGAGAAGAAATCGTTGATTGAAAAGGGAGACAAAGTCAATGTCGTTGAATATGATGATAAAAGTAGCTCAAAGCAGTTGTTATCTTTAAAGCCAGTTTCGACGACTACCACCACTTCATCTTTTTCAACTACTTTTTTGCCGGATCAAGATGATAGCATTACAACAGAAGAAAAGTTATCAACACCACTAGGACTCAATTCAAAGTAAGAAAGTGGTGGAAATTTCCGTTTCCAACTTTGCAAATGATTTCCTTTATCATTTCCATCAGTGACCTTTTCACCCACACTGCTCCATCATTTGCATCAGCAGTCATTGAGGCCTTCTGAAGAGAAGAAGAAAAATATTTTTACTTAGCAAAAAAATAAATACGTCTATGTACAAAACACAATGCAAAGAATAAAGTAGTTGATTTTCACACTGATTATACTGTGTTGAGATAGTTCGCAATGATAAAAAGGGAAGAGGGAGAGAGAAGCTAAAACACTACCAAAATATCTTGAGTTTGGGTTATGTGGATGAGTTTAGGTGGTGGTGATGAGCAGAAATGGTGAATGCAATGTTCCTGCTGCAGCTGCTTCAGTATGGACGTCCTCGGTGGTGGTCGCGATCTCGGTCACCCCCGCCACGACCGCCAAAGTTGTTGCGACCTCCGTAGAAGCGGTGATCTCCGTCGCCGCCTCGAGGTCCTCCACCTTCTCTGCCTCCGTCCATCAATCGAGGCGGCGGACCGCGATCCATTCGCCGATCATTACCGCCACCACCGCCGCCACCACGATCATCGCCGGGAATGTTGATGGCCACGTCGAGGTAGTCGCCAATCTGGAAGCGCGCCTGCCCCAGCGTCTTCATGTCTGCGGGGTCCTTGCGGCCGCTCACTGTGCTGCCGATCTCCCGCATGCGGTAGGTGTTGGCGCGGCTGTCGGGGAAGACCAGTGCAAAGTCGAATCGCGAGCCCGGCTTGCGGCACTCCTGGTTCACCTCCTTTACCAGGGCGGTGAGCTCCTTCAGCGTGGCGTCCATCCAGGTGTAGATCTGCACCTCCTTCGAGGGCACTTTGCCGCGGGCGAACTCATTCAGATGGTGGTGCCGGCCGTGGTTGTTAATAAAGACGCGCAGCAGAAAAGGACATTTCTAAATTGGCGGCGGCGAGGATAGAAAACACGTGTTATGAAATAGAAACAAAATCGGCCACTTGTCTCTTACCTTTTCGCGGTCCACCGTGTCAGTGGTCTTGTGGGTGACGACGGAGGAGGCCATCTTCTGCTTCCTTGGGTGAAGTAGGTGTCCTCCTGTTGATAAGAGAGAGAGAGAGAGAGAGAGAAAGTTATCAAGCGCGATCCAGAAAGATGGAAGCGATGATCACAAAGCAATGGATCACAAAGAGAAGATTCGCCCAGTGTTTTGCTGCTGCTGCTGTGCGCTATTGCCACCGGAGTGGCACAAAATCCGACTATTTTGCGTGTTTTGAAGTTTAAATCTTTAGATTTTTTGAATTTACAGCGGATTCTCTGCCTATCTATCAACCGGAAGTACATTTTAATCAGTAGAAGTTGAGTATTAAGAAGTGGAAAAAGAGTTGAAACAAAACAAAACAAAACAGATCATCACTAATGTCATCCTCCTCCTCAGATGCGACAGCGTCGTTCAAAAAGCGATCGCAGGTAGATCACTTGACTGAAACTGGCGGCCATCAGCAGCAGCAACTCAAAAACGGCCCAGCCGGTGACAAAGAGGTTGACCTGCTTGCTGAGCTGGTGGTGGCCGACAAGGGCAGTGGCCGCCACCTCCGACTCGTACTTGGCAAACTTGAAGCGGTGGCCGAGTTCGGCGAGGTACAGCAGCGAGAGGCGGGTCCTGGTCCACCGCTTTGGAGGCGTTTTTAGAAGCAATAGAAGAAGAAGGGGAGACGAAAACCTCTACGGCAAACTTGACCATCTTGGGCGTGGCGGAGAGGTTTCGACATCGGCCGTTCTGGCCATTGCCATTGTCGAAGCACCAGCGGTACTCGCCCTTTTCTGCTGCGGCAAAGGTGTACCGTCCGCTGTTGCTGCTGCTCGAGTCATTATCGTCGGCCGAAACCAGGTCGCTGCCTCCGGTGCGTTCAGGCCTTTACCCGAGTGGCCGGTTCAGTGAGCTCCAGTCCTTCGGCAAGTCGCTCCACTACTCGGGAACGCTGTCCAGGCAGTGCCTTCAATGTCCACTTCAGTGGACAGCCGTAGTCTTCCATCAGCTCCTCAAAGGAGGTCCGATTGGCGGTAAAGTCCAGTTCCTCGTTGTAGCTGTACAGCTTTGCGAGCTCCTTCAGGTGGACGTCGGTGTCGGAGTAAGCAAAGTCAATGTTCCCTGAAAAAGGTGGTGCAGAGTTGGCATTGCCATTGCTGTTGTTGTTGATGGCTGCCTGGCCACTCCCCAGTGGAGCACCACCGTTGGAGAGTGCTGGTGGATCGGTATTGATGGTTGTGGTGGTGGTCGTAGCGGCATCTGCAGATCAACAAAGGCCGATTTCAGGCCGCTGAGCTAGGCCTCGCGATGGATGCGTCTGAAAGAATGAAAAGAGAGTTATCACATTGCTAATAAACTCACAAACACTAAGGGATACTTGTCTCGTGATGGGGTGATGGTGGGGATTTTCAGGTGAAATTTCTTTGTCTGAGAGTTCAAGCGCGCGTCCGCTGGTGAAAATGTTTGCAGTTGTTGCAGGCAGTGCAAGTGAGAGAGGAGAATCAAATTAAATGCAGAGGCAGCAGGCACAGGGCTGCCAGACCAGAGCAAAATCTAA